GTCCCCCCCACCCCCCCGCCCCGCCCCCCGCCCCACCCACACCCCGCCCTGCCTCCACCCCCCCACGAGCCACGCCCCTCACATCCCGCACAGGCCTACCCTCTAAACCCCCCACCCCCCCCTGCCCTACCCCACCCGCTGCCGACCCCCCCCTCCGCCAAGACCTCCCCTCGCGGATGAGGCAATCATTTACAGGGTCCAGTACACACCCGCCTTTTTCGTTTTTTCCGCCCTTCCCGCCCTTCCCCCGCCGCCCCCTCCTCCCCATCCTGCAGGCCTTCCCTCTACCAGCTACTCCGCCCCTCATCCCTGCCCACTCCACCTCTCCTACCCTTTTTCCCCTGCCCTCCCCACTACCCTTCCCCTTCCCAACCATTCCACTCCTCCTGCCCTGCCCCTCTCCTCTCCCTCCCCACCCGTCCTCCTCCCCCCCGTCCCTGACCTCCCACCCCACACACACCCTCCTCAACCCCTCACATGCCACCTCCCCCCACCCCACCCCCACCCCCACCCCTACCCCAAACCCTCCCCCCCCCTCGCCTCGACCCTACCCTTCCCGCACTGGCCCCGCCACCCCCCCTCCCCAGCCCCCCTGCCCCTCCTCAATCCCTCACCTACTGCGTTCTCCAAACCCCCCCCCTCCGCCTATACCCCCCTCGCCGATACCCTCTACCCAACCATTCCACTCCCTTCCCCTGCCCCTCTTCCTCAGTACCCTTCCCCTTTCCAACCCCATCCCTTTACATATACCGTTTCAGAACTTAGAACCAAGGTTTACGGTTTCGGCGCTTAGAGCAGAGGCATTATCTCCCAGAGTTGAGCAGGAGAAGAAGGGGGGGGGGAAACGAAGGGATAGGGTTTGGGCAGCTTGGGCGTTTGCCTCCAAGGGGTCGGCGGCACTGGCGGTAGCCATTAAATATAGTTCTATATTATGATATTTTGCCCTATGACTGCAGCTGTTTTTGGTCTCCCCACTGTGAGCACTTGCAGACACGAGACATTCGGAAAAGTAGGCGGCAAGCATGCTGCCAGTGTCCAGCTCTCTTCCTTAAAGAACTTTACGCCTAGCTCCTGTCCAGCATACCAGTAAAATTGCTAAAAAAACACAGTTCCCAGTCTGCAGCATTGACTCTAACATAGCACTCTGAGTCTAACAACAATGCACATCCCCACAAGCCAGCGTCAGCGCCCCGATGAGAGTGTTGGCATGGATGGCGTGGACTTCCCCGCTGCGGGCACGCATGAAGACCAGCCTAGGCCAGCTTCCTCCTATGAAGCAAACTGTTTGGCAGCTCATGCCGCTGGCTGGATGTTTCTCACCTGTCCAGGCTGTCGTTGCGCTGCTACTGCGCAGCCTCGTGTAGAAAAGTCACAAGGCGGAGTGTTCAGAATTGGGAGTTGTGGGGAAGCTTCTTCGGGGACAGACACGAAGCCCTCGAACATGTGACGATTTCAAAGCAATCCATCATGTACGTGTTAGGGGCACCTGACGGGGAAGACTGCCCGCAGACCTGACTTAGCCGTGACAGCACCCCCCAAGAATCTTGTAGCATGCCCGGCACAAGCTGGAAAGAAACTACTGCTGCAGTAGACATGGTGGACAAAATTCGCATGGTAGTTAAGCCGCCGTTATGAGCCCCTGTGCGGCCGCGTTGCAGGCCCTCGGCCAGTGCCGGGGCCTCCACAGCAAGCCTCGAAAGATCGAAGCCATCAGCTCAATAGCCCTCTTAGGCACTTTTGTGGGTGCATACGCATTCTGAGATGCACTCATATACTGAAGTATGTTGACATTACACGATGTTATTCCAGTATGTTGTAAAGTACATCATCGAACCGCGTTCTAGGTGATCTATATCTGAAATGGGAATTTTTAACATAAGGGACCCCTCGAAGCCCTTACAGTATTATCGGAACCCCACACGGAGGGACCCATGATTTTCGGAAACTCCCAAATGTACCGCTGAGCAGCTTGCGGACTGATGTGCCCACATTCCGATTCCAGGCCCAAGCTTCCGTCAGTTGCTGCAAAGTGCTGGAGTGATGCCCTGCATTCGGGGGCAAAGTTTGGGATTTCGGTTTTGGTACCTTGTTTTTGTGTTGGGGGAGGGGAGGGGGTCCTATAAAACAAGGTCTATACTAGTTTGGGAGCATAAGAGCGGGCGCCTCATTCTAAATTTTGTCACCTACATTTACCGTTGCATGTAACAAAGACTGGCCATGCACTTCGATCTCACAGGCGTTTTGTCGTGTTCTGGCGAAGTCGTTGCTACTTTTCTGACGCCGCGATGCTGGGGCACACTATGGCACAGTGCAAGGCTTGACCTTCGGCATGACTTTGAGGTTCACAGTCTCATCTCGATCTTCATCTGCAATATCTCTACGCAAAGTCCGTCACACTTCCGAAGCCACACTTCTCCACGTAACATCTAGATTGAACGTCTCGACGTCATGTGAAGCCGATTTCTTTCGCCTGCTGCCTCAGGATCTGGCGGGGGAAACTGATACTCTTTTCCTGCCCTACAATATCAACGGCTGAGTGCCTGCATAGCTTCGCCCGAAAGGCTCGGCTTTTGCATATTTTGGGAGACTCGGCTCAAAACAGCATCGGTTAAGATTACAAATGTCTGCGATGGAGATCTGCAAGTCGCCGCCTCGTCCGGTCCCGGTACCTGCAAGGACACGACCGGCGGAGGGGTTTTTGTTTTAAAAGGTGTGGCTCGAGCCTGCTTTTTTTTCAGGTGTGGCTCGGCTTGGCTTGGCAAATACTGCAAACAGCAGCATTTCTGTGTTTTCAAAGGCTGCAAATACTGTAAATAGCAGCATGTCTGCGTTTCCAGAGGCTGCAAATACTGTAAATAGCAGCATTTCTGTGTTGTCAAAGGTTGCAAATACTGTAAATAGCAGCATGTCTGCGTTGTCAGAGGCTCAGACACTGTAAATTGCAGCATTTCTGCGTTGTCAAAGGCTGCAACTACTATAAATAGCAGCATTTCTGTGTTGTCAGAGGCTTCAAATACCGTAAACTAGCAGCATTTCTGCGTTTTCAGAACAGATACTATTTGCTACGATTTTAGAGGCTACAAATACTGTACACAGCAGCATTTCTGAGAAGTCCTGTAAACTCTACATAACAGCATTTCTGAGCTTTCAGACGCCGCAAATACTGTATAAAGCGGCATTTCTGAATTTTCAGAAGCTGCAGACGCTGTAAATTTATATGCCAGCGTGAGACAAAACAAACGGAATGGAATCATATGTTTTGATACATGCTTGCTCGGCCTAAAAGAGCGAGGGGTTGGGGGGGGGGGGGGGGGGGCGCAGCAGCCCCCCCCCCCCCATTTGCAAACAAAATGCTCGAACGATGGGTTTGGAAAGGATTCAGATGGCGCAGGGCTCGCAACCATTTGCAAACAGAACGCTCGCATAGTGGGTGTGTAAGGGATTCATACGGCGTTTGAGGCAGGCTTGCACGGCTTCAAAAAGGCTGCAAATACCGTAAATAGCCGCAGTTCTGCGTTTTCAGAGGCTGCAAATACTGCAAATAGCAGCATTTCTGACTTTCCAGAGGCACACTGTACATAGCAGCATTTCTGAGTTTTCATATGCTGCACATACGGTAATTAAAGAGCGGCATGCCTGAATGTTCAGAAGCTGCAAATGCTGAAAACGCCAGCATGAGACAAAACAAACGGAAGGGAAACATATGCTTTGACGCAAGCTTGCACGACCCAAAAATGCGGAGGGATTTGGGCGGGGCGCAGCCACCCCCCCCCATTTGCTAACACAATGCTCGAATGATGGATGGGTTTGGACAGGATTCTAATGGTGCACGGCTCACAAAAGCGGGGGGCGTGGGGGTCGCAACCATTTGCAAACAGAATGCTCGCATGACGGGTTTGTAAGGGATCCATATGGTGTTTGAGGCAAGCTTGCACGGCTCAAAAGAGCGCGGGGGGGTTGGCGATGGGTTTGGAAGAGAATCATATGCTTTGCCAAGCTTGCGCGGCCTAAAAAAGCGGGGTGGGTTGGGCGGAGGCGCAGCCTCCCCCCATTTGCAAACAAACATGCTCGAACGATGTGTTTGGAGAGGATTCAGATGATGCACGGCTCACGAAATCGGGGGGCTTGGGGGGTCACAACGATTTGCAAACAGAATGCTCGCACGATGGTCTTGGAAGGGATTCATACGGTGTTTGAAGGAAGCTTGCACAGTTCAAAAAGCCCCATTTGCAAACACAATGCCACCACGATAAATTTGGAAGGGAATCATATGCTTAGACGCAAGCAGCACGGCCTATTTAAACAGGGGTTGGGGTTTTGAAGCGGTTTGGATGGATTCATACGCTTTGAAACAAGCTTTGCACGGCGTCAGAAATGGACCGCAGGGCGACCAGGGCCAGAGGACCACGGGACCACGGGACCAGAGGACCACGGGACCAAAGGACCAGAGGACTAGAAGAGCGGAAGACCAGAGAGGACTAAAGCACCAGAGGACCAGAGCACCACGGACCAGAGGACCAAGGACCAGAGAACCAGAGGACCAAACGACCAAAGGACCAGGGGACCCCAGCCACACCTTTCAAAGAATGGAAGGCCGAGCCACACCTTTAAAAAACAAAACACTTGGCTCAAGGACACGATCGAGCCCAAAACTGCTGCATGTTGGATGCAGTAGGGAATCGTGTAGGAACCGAAGCGTCGAAAAACACGCAAGAAGATCTGTGAGACTCTGCGTAGTTTCGGCCGAGCCCTTCCCGCCTGCTGGGCTCATGGTGAAGTGTGGTGAGGTTGCAATCTTCCAAAGGGTCCAAGCCACCAAGGCTTGAGGATGAAGGGCGGCGCAATGTAAGGCTCGGCCACAAACTCTCTGAAACAACTTACCAGGTGATGTCTTTGCCAAGGCGCATGAACGCTAGCCGAATTATCCCTGGGTGTTTGGAAGCTCAGGCTAGGCACCCGCAAAGTTGGGGAGGGCAGTTGTGCTTTGCATGCTTGCCAGCTCAGAGAGCTCTCAGTGGGCCAGAGTCGGCTAGAGGGCCCGGCGCCAGGATGATGTGCAAGCCTTCGCGAACCACCTGGACGAAGTGCTGCCTGGGAGCTCTGGAGCTCAAGAGCTGACGCACGAGCTCTGTCAATGGAGGAGCCATTGCTGCCGAGAAACTCTCTAAGGCATGAGACAGGGTAGTAAATGAGCCTAGTTCCCTGACTCCCAGTTAAGAACCGCTAGGGTGTCTTGGGCCCCACGCCACAGAACGTCCCGTGCATCGACCTTCCCAGCTGCCTTGGCCAACGGCCTCGTCAGGCCAATCACCTGCGCCCAACAGTGAGGGGGCCAAAGACTCCCCCTGGCTGCACCTCCTGCAATGTCGTCTGATATGTTGAGAAACTGGTTTTGAAAAAGGCCAAGCTCCATCCCTTATGATAGCTATCTCCATACTACGATGACTGTTCCTACTGATAGTTGCAATGAATTAGAAAGACTCGCACAACTGGAGATATCTATCCGGGAACATGATGGCACATGTCCTCACAAATCCTGTGGGGCAGGATGTGTCACTTCGTGGGTAGCATGGCCCTTTTGAGACTGCAGCACGCATCCTCTTGACGCATGCCTGGATTTTGATTCGTGCCGCCTCGCCTTGGATGCTGGCTGGATTCTATCTGCTTCGGGGCAGCGAAAGCGGGCTGAGCTGAGCTTTTGTTGTTTCTGGTCCTTGGGCGTCCTCGACCTTCGCCAAAATTGATTCAAGCTAGTGCAACTGCAGCACGGCGAGCTCACACAGTGACGCATTCACCGTACAGTGCTCTTCCTGACTTTCGACTGCGCTTCTCTTCTGCCATGTTCACAATGTGTAAAATTCAAGAAGCGTCTGCATGGCAACATTCATCTGAATGCCTGCTCCTGCTCGTCAGCCTGGAAAAGGTTCGGGACCTGCGCGGCAAGTTTACTCCTTGTCTTGATCTTGCGTGCTTGACAGCTGCAATGTGCTTCGGGCAACAGTCACATTTGGGCCAGCAACATTCGGAAGCCATGATTTTGACGAGGCCTCAAGAAGATGCAACGCCACGAGACATTGAAGGATATCGAAAGGCACAAAGTCCAAAAAGTGCGAAAAGTGAAACAAGCCGTGCAAAGCCGAACCGTCAAAACTCCAGGACAACGCACAAAATCGGTGAAGTGCAAAACAAAAAATGTCGCGAACAGCCACTTGCGGAGCCTGAAGTTGTTGGAACGCTTGGCGAAGTGTTTCATCCCTTCTTTAAGCTCGTGTGTTTTTGTTCATCAACTTCGTGTTCTAACCGACTTTGTCGCTTGCTCGTGCAAGACGTTGCGTAACGGTGCTGGGCATTGTCTGTTTGCAGGAGACACCTCGCCGGTGTTGAGAATGTTGTTGATGTCCTCGAGGAACGACTCCTGCAAGAGCAGTTCCGAGTTCCCAAGTAGGGAAGCTAGAGATGCAAAACGAAGGATTCAATTACACGGCAGACATCCTTTATTTGATACACGAACAAACCTTCAGCCCCAGAATGGCACAACACAAGGGCTTTCTCACACTAACCTGCGCCGCCACACCTGGCACCACCGTGTACCACCTAGGAAGCATCAGCAGCCACCGAGAATCACCACCCCAAGCCTTTCAAGACCGAGCACGGGCCTTCACAATCTGCGTGTCTGAGAACAGGAAGGCCAGGCCCTTGCCAGGAGAACTTGGACTTTGGCATGTTGAGACATGCTGGGGTTTGCTGAACGGCTCTTGCAAGGCTAGTTGTACTCTTTGAAACCCCGCGCAGCGGCAACATGAAGCAAGGCCCTTCGGGATGCAATGGTTCTTCTTGGAATTGGCCCCCGAGCAAGCGAAAAAATTGGACAATCTTTGGATGTGTGATTTGACGGGTTTCCCGTTTGTGGAGGTGCCCTTGACGATGCTTGCCTGCTTGCCCCTTGTGCGGCTGTTGAAACAAATATTTCGTTTCCAAGGCCTACCCGTGATGGGTTGAGAACTTCTGGGCTCAGGATTTAGTGGCTTGAGGTTCGGAAGGCTTAGTACTTAGCAGGGTTGGGTTTACTTCGTTTACTTGCGGTCCTAAGGCTGAGATGTTGAGCTTCAGTAGGGTTCCATGGTCCCAGCAGACTGGCGGGTTGACCCTTCGCTTCTCCAAGTGTCACGGCCTCCGTCGTGCTTTAGGAAAACTCACAAGTGCCAGCTGCACGACTTGTGTTTGCGCGCGTCCCATACGAAAACCCAAGAGTGCCGGTTGTGACATATGTCGCCTCTGTTGTGCACATCACCATGGGAAACACAACGCTTGCGCTTCATGTCCTTCAAGTCCGATGCCAATCCCAATGACTCACAAATCATTCGGTTCGAGATGCAGGCCTTGGAAGTGCCTCGGGCCTCACTGTTTGTCACTCCGCCCCTTTCGGCATATGTGATAGTTGCAGCATAGATTTACCCACGCCAATGCCAGCAGCTTACGAAACCTCTCTCTACAGTGACCCTGCTCCCCCCTGGTCTGTGCCATACGTATGCTGCGCCCTGTAGTTTCATACATACGTCGCGCACCCGTCTTGAAAACCTCCCTCGGAGGAGGGGCTTCTCGAGGAGGGGTTGCAAAGAGAACGGCCTTGAGCCAAAACCCTATGTTGCCAAAAACATTCCGTACATGGGGCAAACCTGAACTTTGTTGCCACATCTTGAGGGCAATAGAGACACCTTGCCGTAAGCAGTACGAGCACCACTGGAAGACTGCAGACATCGGAAAGTGACGGCCTTTCCTTCGCTCTTCAGCCTTGGCGCAAATCCGGCTGAGAGCTGCAAACTGTAGCTTAAATCTTTATGAAACAGACTTGCCTTTCCGAAGTCGACTGTATACGGAGTGTGCACATGTGAGCACCCATACTGCCGGCACCCCCTGGACTCCAGACAAGCCGCACGTCCATCATCATTCGCTTCAGGTCCTCGCGGAAGTCATTGACGCCTTATGGTCAGTTGCAGGCCGACTCACGCATTTGAGCAGACACTGAACCACACAGAGCCGGGAACACGTTGTCTTGGAGTGTCCAAAGGCTGAACACGGCGGAGGCCGAAGCTGAGGTTTCGGCCATATGTGCGCGTAATCTCGATCGAGCTGCACGCGAACTGCGCACTTCTTCCACCAAGGGATTACAGGAAGCGAGCGTGTTGCAAAGGAAGTTTCTCAAGCAGGCTCGCAAGATCTGAAGTTCTTCAGGAAGCTTTTGTAGCATCTTGTACCATTGGGTGGGGACTCTGCAGACACGTTGGGACGGGATTGCCATGGGCACAAGCTCGAGGGGCCCGCTTGCCTCACAGTACCATGCTAAGGTGGAGAAGAAGAGGAGAGAAGAATGAAGAATGAGTTAGTTGCATTTGGGGCGCGTGGGAATGTCTTAGTTGCATTTGGGGTGTGTGGGATTTGAAGCCTAGAAATCCTGTATCTTCACAAGTTGCAACACTACCATAAGCTGAAAAAAAGAAAATAAGTCCGAATGGGTTCAAAAGTTTCAAAAGTTCTGGAAAAGTTCTGAAGGTTGCAGGTTCTGGAACATGTCCGAGATCCTAGATCTGCGAAAGCTGTAAAAACGTTTAGAACTTTTAGATCTTGTGGAACTTTTTAGAACGTTTAGAGCTAGCCTTGAAAGTGCCAAGTGCGCACGTCATGTCACGTTACTTCGTGCTTCTAAACCTAACTCCGAGGCATTCCCCTGTTAGATTATATGTAGCACAGAAGCACTCAAATAGCCAAAGACGCCCGAATCCCATGTGCGGGGACCCGCCTCCCGGCAATTCCCTGGGCCCCTGGTATTTGTACAGTTGTCAGGAGTTTATAGGGGGGTCTTGGACTAACAGCTTTGTGCCCAGGATTAGGGGCTTCGTGTCTGTCAGGTTTAAGGCTTAGGTTTCGAGATTACGAAAGCCAGTCCGTACGGACAAATTTGTTCATGCAAGGGGTGTTCCCCACCCCCCTCTCCACGAAGAAGGGTTGAGGAAGAGACACCCCAACGCATATGTGCACACACACACACAAAGTTCAAATTTCACAAACTCCAACGGTCAAAAGGTCCACAAGCTCTAGAAGTGCTAAAAGTTCTACACGCCTAAAGTTCCAATAGTTAATGTCCAAAAGATCAAGAAGTTCTAAAAAGGCAAAAAGTTCGTCTAAGAGTTCGAAATTCCAAAAGTTAAAAAAAGTTGTAAAGAGGCTAAAGTTAAAGGTTCCGAAACTATCAATATTCTAGAAGTTTAAAATTGTTCAAGAAGTTCTGGAAGTTCCAATGGTGCCAAAAACAGGCAAGACACGCAGGAATTCACCTAAAACATCCCACGCGCCCCAAACGCAACCAAAGGCAGTCCCACGCACCTCAAACGCAACTAGCGCGAATAAAGAAGAAGGCGAAGCTTTAGGATAAAGAGGAAGAAAAGGACGAGAGACAGATGGAAAATGAGAGAAAGAGAGGACCGAGACGTCACAGTTTGCTGGACCCCACCCGCAACGAGGAATCCTTTGGGGGAGAAGGCGGCAACGCCTCCAGCCTCTTTTGCCTTTGTGCTTCCAGTGAGAACTTGATTCAATGGAGCTAGACTCAGCTCGGCACCGCTGTGGTTGTTCTTGGACTCTGCCCCATTCGAGGACTCAGATAATTGCTTAAGACTCTCAAGTTGGGGGTCTTTTGGGGTCTTTTTGAACAGTGCTCTGCTCAGGCATCGTGAGGCCGAGCGTCGAACCGACTAATAAAGAAGTTTTTCAGACAGCAGGGATGACGTGCACTCTCCGACAGCGGTCCGGTGGAGTTTAGCTCAGGTGGCGAAAATCTCAAATTAACCCAGGGCTTGTTTGAGCCATAAGTCATCAGCTCAAGCGCGAACATTTTCTGACAGCCCGACCTCGGCCATGTGCGCAGCCATGCGTGCCAAACTCTTTCTGCCCACACCGCTGACGCCCACGAGGAGGGCATTGCCTGAGGCTGGAGTGTGGAAGAAGATCAACATGGGGGTTGACGAAAAAAGGGGTACCTTATTGTGGTCCTTATTATAAGGGGATCTCACTATTTGGGGCTCTATATTCGGGGTCTCGAAGCGGTGCTCTACTAGCTACTAATATCATTCCTTTTCATAAGATATAAGATATGTTATCATCATATTAAAATAAGCAGACATTTCATTTGAAGCTGCCCTCAGGTCCGCTGAGGCGCCTCGCGGCTGGCGAATGATTCTGGACGCGCGGGCAAGATGCTCTTGAGCATCCTGAACAGGGTTTAGGGTTTAGGGTTTAGGGTTTAGGGTTTAGGGTTTAGGGTTTAGGGTTTAGGGTTTAGGGTTTAGGGTTTAGGGTTAGCATCTCTGGTCCAAGCATTCACTAAGGGTGTTTGGCATCACCCCACGTGTGCGGCATCACCCCTCCCTCCCAGAATCCCTTTTCATCTGAAATATATATCTTCGCTTTTACCTAACCTATTTGTTTATCACCAACCAAGTTTCTCATTCGGCTCGCAACACTGCCATCTACCACCAACCCATCCCTAAAAGGCTTCAAAAAGCACCCAAAAAAGAGGGGGAACTCAGGATTTGCCTGCTCCCGGCTCCCGCAATTAAAAAGGCTGTTTTTAAATACAAAAATCGACGGTTTCGGGGCCCCTCCCGTTTACCCCAAAGAACCACCAAAAAGGCTTCAAAAAGCCTCCCCTTTCGGGAACCCAGGATTTGCCTGGTCCCGCAATGCAAAATGCTGTTTCTTGGTACTGAAATCAACGGTTTCGGGGCCCCTCCAATTTACTCCAAAGCACCACCACAGCCACAGATAGCTTTCAAAAGCCCCAACGGGGAACCCAGGATTTGCCTGGTCCCACAAGGAAAACTGCTGTTTTTTAGTACTGAAATCGACGGTTTCGGGGGCCCTCCATTTCACCCCAAAGCACCACCACAGCCCCAAATAGCGTTAAAGAACCACAAAAGCTTGAAAAAACCCAAAAAAGGGCGGCACCCGGGAATTGCCTGCTCCCGCAATGAAAAATGCTGTTTTTTTGTTCTGAAATCGATGGTTTCCTTACCCCAAAGCACCACTACAGCCCCAAACAGCTTTCAAAAGCCCCAAAAAGCTTCAAAAAGGCCCCCAAGGAGGGGACCCAGGATTTGCCTGCTCCCGCAGTGAAAAATGCAGCCAGAAATGAGCCGAAACAATACATTTTTGAAGGCAAACTTTCCCCTTCAAGGGGGGTCAGAGTTTTGACCCCCCTTGACCAAAATGAGGCTGTGAAAAGGTCGGGGGTGGCCCTTCATCAGAATTGGGGCTATATCCTAAATCCTAAACCCTAAACCCTAAATCCTAAACCCTAAACCGTACAAATCCTAAACACTAAACCCCAAATCCTAAATCCTCGAACCCTCAAAAAACCAAATCGCAACACGACCCCATTAAGGTTTAAAAAACATAGGTAGAGAGGGTTTAGGGTTTAGGGTTTAGGGTTCAGGGGCCCAAGGCTCAGCAACGTGACATGCCTATGATGCGTATGGGTAGTTGGGCCACGGGTGTTGGGTTGCCGCGAGGTTTCCGGTTTGCCCAAAACACTGGTATTAGCGTTTTCGCCAGTTTGTTGCCTTTGGCGACCATGCCCAAAACACTGGTATTTACAGTGTTTTTGTTTCTCTACGGGCTAATCATGCAAAAACCCAGGTAAAACGTACGTTTTCGCAACAAAACACCACGGCAACCCATCACCCGTGGTCCGGGTAGTTTCCTAAGTTAGGCCCCTTTTTGGGGTACCCATGAGAAGGCGGCACCCTTAAAAAAGGATCTCAAAAGGGACCCTAATTTAGAGAACTACACATATGTTTTTGAAACTGCTACACCTCATCATGCTATAGAACTGGATCTTCCAGCATCTGAACAGAAGGTCAATGGCTGAAACAAGTCACACAAGTCCTTGAAGAACACAAGGTTCATCTTGCTCGGACTCATGCCATTGTACTCCTGGCGAATACAATTCACAAACCTAGCACAAGCATCTGCACACATCTGGAAGATCACCTCCAGAGTACCAGACAAAGAGACTCCCCGTCGCCTCCAATGCTTCCTCAAATGTCAGCTGCGTTCGAACAGGATCGGTGGCTTGGACATACCTCGCATTCCCGACCGCATTCCGCCTCTAAACCCGAATTCCTAGGCATCGAGGAGGCCTGCACTCCCTTTGATTGCTGCGCTCTGAAAACTGGAGTCAAAGAGGGGCCTGGAGTCAGTCATAGCTTAAAGCCCACACAATGAGGATCTGTAAGTGCAAGCGGTTCAATGCACATAACATCTCTGAGGCTTCCAACGGCTTCTCATTCCGGTCGAAGAAGTCGCCGAACATCAGGTCCGCAAAACTGGCCAGTGCAGAAAGAGTACGCTTGGATCAGAACATCCACAGTTTACAATTCCTAGCCTGAGGCCCGCTTTCCTAATCTCGTGTTGCACCTCAACGCCAAAATCCCACAATAAGCTCAGCGGTTTCGCCACACTTCTGCAGCATGTCGGGGCATGGCAACGCAACACTTGCACACCCTTCTCAAACTCTTGGTGCCCGACCACAAGTGCGTTTACAAGACTTCTTTGTGGCTTCGGAGCGTCTGACTTGTGCCCCACCACTATGTCTTTTGGCCGGATACTTGCCTGTCTAAAGCAGCTAAACCATAAACCAAGAAATGACGCACCCTCCTCGCCGAAACGATGTAAGCCCCATCGCTTGCTCAATGGCCTCTGGACGGGCCAAGTTCTCTGAAGGTGCTTCTCGAGGTTTTCCTTGGCTGGGCACGTACGTTATAGAGGGTGTACCAGGGGCATGAAGCTTTTCGATCCGGCATCGTGGGAGGACCTCCTGCGCAAGAAGCTGAAATGCTGCCGTGGCACATGAAGGCAGTCGTTAAACCAAGCCCTGTCCTGGCAATCTTGAGGGTTTTTTTGCAGTCACGGGTGACAGCCCTTACAACAGCAAAATTCAATCGGGCTTTTTCGCTGCAGTCAACAATGCATGGCTTCTTTACCCCCTTGTCCCGAAGGAGGGCGCCCAGGGACGAAAAGTGCGTGCAGCAAAAGTGGTATGTGCTGTGACAATCCAGTAATACAGGTAGTTTCTTTGCGACTGCACAGCTGTGCACACGTCATTGTTCGGGAATTATTGTAAAACCAAATCTCTTCAAATATCGCACGTGCCAATAGAATTGGGGATAAGGATTGCTTACTTACAAACTATCTAAACCCGATGGGCCCGATAGACCCCATTCAGGGCCCCAATCCATAGCATTTTTTCCTTCTAGTTTGCGGGAAGTTTTTTCAACTCGGGGGGCCACAGCCTCCTTGTTCACCAGGCGATCTCTGAATTGGCGGCAAGTCTCGTGCACCCAAAGCCTCCCAGCGCCGATAGGGCTTAGGTCTTTTAGGGTTTAGCTCCGTCATATACAGGACTGAAGTGGTTCGTCTTAAGGTTCCTCTTGTTGCTAGATACGACTAGAGTCCTAGCTTGACCAACTAATCTCCCCGGGGAGGTACAGAGAAGAACATATGGATCTCATGGCAATGAGAACACCCTGTGTACTCTATGGTCTCGGAGATGTTGAGATGTAGCGTCACCTCGCGTGTTGCCGTTCGCTCCACACAAGGTTCTCAACTTACTGGGCTCCAAAATGTTGTTCGTTGTTTAGACGTCGTTTACTGAATGTGTACCGGGCTCGTGAACCATGTCAATGCGTGATGGGCAAACCATGGCGGGCTAATTTCACACCCAAACAGATACCAAATGACGCCTGATCAGGCTGTCTTCGTCCGAGAGCTCTGTTCTGACATTGACCATGAGCATTCCCTGCATTGCTTCGCAAGGCAAGCATAACAAATACCAGGTGGTCGTTAAAAAACAAACCGTCAATGAATGATCCAATGTAAAATCTGGTGAACATGTATTTTCGATGGGGCTTTGTTGCTGAGCGTGCAGTACTGGCATGGTGCAGTGCTGGATTGTGCTTACTCCCCAGCGCGCCAAAACATGAATGGCAGTGCGAAGCTGTGGGTGCAACTCACCAGCACAATGTGGCCCTAAGATTCCTAATGGTTCACGCATGTTCAAATACTCTTCGGCCTGAAGCATCTTCGCAGGATCGCGCCTGTAGTTAATGCAGCGTGCAGCCAAGCTGCCAGGTGACGTTGGGTACTAGAACTATTACCCGTCCCACGGCGCCACACCACAGGGGCCCGCATGTTCAAATTACAGGGGTGCAGAGCCACGGGTGGGGCCATGTGAGCGCGCGGCAAAACCTAGAGCCCACGACTGGGACATTTCATTGAGGGTATCGCTTTTGGGGTTAGGTATCGCTTTCTCAATCAAAACGATGATATTCGGGGGTATCGCTTTTGGGTTAGGTATCCCTCTCACAGCAAATTGCGAATGTCCCGCCCCAAACTACCTGGCTAAATCGCTCATGTTTGCCCGGGCCTACACCCCGCCTACCCCCCCTGGTATCCCCCGCCCGGCCCCGCCAAGGTCCCCCTGGTATCAGTCCGCCCCTTCCCCCAAGCCCCCAAACCTCTCCCCTTCAACCGCAAACGCCAACCCCCCATTCACAGCACAGGCAAGGGTGGGCTAAACCTTAAACCCTAAACCTCACAAAGGGAAGCGCGGGGTAGTACGGGCGGCCGGTCTATTCAACCTTCAACCCCAAATCCTAACCCCAGGTCTGCCAACGAACTGAGGAGGAAACACAGCCTTCGGACGCGGCTCAGGGATACTAGAGCTTGCACTTGCAGACGATGACGACGCTTTGGAGCTCTCCAGCTTATCCATTTGCTCCACCAAAGACTGCTGGCCTTGCATCAGCACGCGTAGCATTGATGCCAGATCGCCAAAGGGATCTGTAGCCTCAGGCTGTACTGGAACCAGTTCACGATCATCTTCCGCTTTGACAGCTCCGCGTTCCATGGCCGAAAACACGCTGTAGCCTGCAACACTATGATGTCCAGGCGATGCTTCTCTGGCAACTTGTGCCTCCGGTTCCTGTGGCTGTGTCGCCAGCACAACAGGGTCAGTGCGAAGTACTTCTGCAGGACACGAAGCTGGTTCATGGGGCACATTGTCCCTGGCTGTACTTGCTCCGGCCTCGGGAGTTTCCTGGGCTTGAGGTCCAAACTCATATGATGGTTCACGTTCAGATTCATCGCCTTCTCTTGTAGCTGCACCTCTTTCCCCAGGGTCCTCCTGCACCATCTGTCGTGCACGACGAAACTCCTGCTGCACCGCATCTGACCAGAAAGGATACGGGAGGTTTGCCATGGCAAGGTCTACTTTCTACAGAGCCCTTTTACTTAGCGTTGGGTTCATACCCCTCGCGGGGGGCAGGAAGCTCCACAGCGGGGTTACGCAGGGCTCTCTTTGTGCCACCAAGCAGCAACACAAAACAAGACAAGAAAGGAGACTTCTGGTATCTTTGCTTTTAATGTACACTATACATGGTGATTTCTTAAAAAGACATTCTGCTTGTGGCTTGGGCTCCTGTAGACCTAAGCCGACATGTTGCAGGTAAGCAAACTGGCTTCTTACTCACTCGCGACCTTAAACCCTCAACCGGGATACCATGGGGTGAATCATGGGGGGGTGGGGGGTGGCAGCCCGAGACCATACATGCCAGAGAGAGCCCAGCTTCTGTCATGGTTTGTCTTTCTTCCCTACGCCCTAGGCACGCCGTTAAAAAGCCATCTGCGAACATAGCCCATGTGACATGGTATCACAGTTTTGCTGCGTTCCCGCAGGGCAGCGGGATTGGAATACTTGCGTCTTGCGGGACAACTTCCATCTACCTAGTAGTTTCCCATGCCAGTACAGTACTTTGAGTTCCTCAGTGCCCATTCTCAACAACCGCCGACAAACGGGCACGTAATTCATGGGGATGCTCCATCCCAGTACCATCTACACTTTTTGGGGGTTCCTGACTGAAAACTCCCTGTGCAGCCATTCCCTCTAGCGAATTGAATGGCTCGCTTGTTTTTTTCTCCTGATTCTCCTTGCAGCCCAAGCACAAGTTGAAGGTGTAATGGCCTCGACATCGTCTCTGAAGCGACATGTCATGCTGCACACACCCGAAATTCAACTTGACATTTGCAGCCATTGCAGGCTTTAGATCGAACCTCACAGTGTCGCACAGGTACCTGCGTCCCGCCAAGCAGCTAGGCACCCGGCATTTTAAAGGAGTTGGCAGTAGGTCCGAGATGATTCGGAAGAACATGTCAACCTGAGGTGGCTCGGAGAACGTTACCACATCAGATCATCGCGTGTAGAACTCCTGTTCATCCTCATTGCCGTGTCATTCAGTCTAGGGACTAGCGTGTGCGTTGGTCAGGCGCACTACGAACGTGCTACAAGTAAGGCATCGGCACTCGCGGCCACAATATCACTGGCCAGATCCTGCAAGTTCTGCCGAAAAGGGAAAAACAGCCGATAAACCCATGTCGGGGCTGTCTCGGGATGCTGGGCAAAGCCCTTCCCAACTCGAGAGCTGCATTGGGACCCATTGGGATCACTGACAAAGCACCAAGCACTCCTGCAGAGCTGCCTTCTTCACCTCAGCGGCAGGACGTCACATGCACCAGATATAATTCAAAATCAAATATATACATATTTATTTATTTATTTATATACATATAAGAGCATATATATATATATGCACATACATACATACATACATACATATATATATATATATATGTAGATATATATATATATATATATATATATACATATATACATATATATATATACATATATACATATATACATATATACATATATACATATATACATATATACATATATACATATATACATATATACATATATACATATATACATATATACATATATACATATATACATATATACACATATATATATATATATATGTATACACATATATATGTATATACATATATATATATAGAACATATACATACATGTATACATACATGTATACATATATATATATATATGTATGTATTTATCCAATTACATAAACTATATATAATATTGCTTCGAATGCCCCAACATGTTCTCATGAAGCTTAGGCAGGTCCTTGATGCAGAACACCATAGTCTTCTTTTCGACAGCGGAAACGCAGTGATAGAACTTGAGCCCACCGCAAAGTCTCCGAGCTTCGTTAAAGAAAAAGCCCCTGCACTCAACTGTAATGCCAGCGTCGCCAAGGGGGTAGCATTGTCGCAGAGCATAGAAGCGGCAATGAGAAAACCAACCATTCCAGCAAAATGGCCTGAGATGGTCTAAGTCGAACTCTGGGCCCACGGCATCGTGTTTTTGTGCCACGATCGTGACAAAGCGAGGCTTCTACACTTCAAAGGGAGCATGCGGGACCGAGACGGCGGCATGAAATTCAGACTGAATAACGCGGAGCGACGGCGGGGGCATGATCCCAGGCCCAACGCGTGGACGGTTTTGCACTTCACAGGCAGCATGATACCGAGGCGATTTCGACCATGGCATGCGTATGGACGAAGGGAGCGCAGCACCATACAAGGCCCGAAAGAAGGACAATTCCGCACATCACGAGGAGCATGCGCACGGGACAAAAGCCTGTGATTTCAAACGCCGTGATGTTGAAGTCCAATCCCACAAGACCCGGTTCAACCGCGCGTGGAACGTAAGGAACACAACATCGTCCTGCACTCCCCACTAACGTGAGAACCCCTTCTTGGAGAGGGGGGTGGGGAGGAACACAGTGAGCAGCTCTTTTACCGTTCAGGTTTCCACCTGACTCTCACGATTGAGGACTCGACCCCAAGCCAGCCGCCCAGGATGGAGCTGAGAATGCGATCTGGCACACACTCTGAATATCTCTGAATCATGGTCCCTAATTGAACAAAAAGAGGACTTCTAATTATTCTAATTAGAGAATCCACCATGCTGACTTCCTAAACTAGTGTTGAACCCTTGCAGTTCTCACAGGCTACTCAATGCAGCCGTCTAGCATTACGCAGCATCCCCACCGCAGGGGATGGCCTTTCGAGGGTCTGGTAAGTGTGAACCGGGGGCGAATACGGGAATTCCAGAATGGGTTGGGTTCCTTCCTCATGAGTCTGCTTGTGAACTTCGAATGAACCAGCAGCACATTGCCTTTGGCATGTTTTAACCCGACGGTTGTGGCACAACAACTTTGACAACTTTGTTCATCAGAGTGACAAGTTCACGAGGCTGCTTCAAACTGAGATGTGGACGCATTGTTTCCTGCGCACGCTAGGCGATCATGCAGGTGCGAAACTCCGAAACTCGATCAGGAAAGGACACCGTGTCTACGGAGCGCGCTGGACAGGTACCATAAGTACCTGTTCCCTTCAACCCCAGCCCAGATTGTAATATTTCAAGACGAAGGCGAAGGTCAAACGGCTGTGCTTACTCCGTAGGGAGGAAGTACTTCCCGCTACCTCCCTAAGGGATTACAAGGTGCCTAGTTCCTTCGGTCCCAAGAAACCGTAAAGTTCAGTTGCAGACTCAGGTAGCAAGGGGACCGATTTCTCCGCCTACAGCTGCTCTTCCATCGTGTGTTCCTGCCCATAACTTCATGTAGCTTTTTCAAGGAGGGAAACATTTTCGTGTGTATCAGAAGCTGTGTTTTGAAAGCAAGGTTGCTCCTCTTGCTCCTCTTGCATTGTCTCCTGTTGCTGGCGTAGTCATTCTTCGTCAGTACAATCTCATTATTGCATGCCATTACTTGCCAACCCAGGGTTGCAAACTACGTTTCGGTGGGACTTCCTTGGCGCCAGCGCCCTCTTTCAAGTGCTTTTCGCAGGTTCCCCCGGACCTTTTGCCAGGACTTCAGCGAACAGAACCTCCAGCTTAAGGATTGGGGTAGACTGGGGCGGGCCCCTCGGCTAGGCTAAGTTCCGAAGCAGGTTCCGGGGCATTCCGGGTTGGGTTCGGGGCTGCTTCCGGGGCAAGTTCCGGACCTTTGCGAATGCTTCCAAATGCGCGTAAATCACCCCCTTCGCCGCATTCACTGGCCAGCTGCAAGGAGAAGTCTGCCATGTGAAGCATTGGTGTTTGCTTCTTTGCAAACTTTTGTTGAAACTCCCCCAAATCGTCGGCTGCATGGTCCGCTCTTGTGTCTTTGATGGCCAGTGGATGCCAGTGGTTTACACCGGGGTCTACGCAGGTCCGTGCCCGGAGCTCGGCAATTCTGTGACACTTTTTTGGGGCGCGAGCTACTTGGTCGTGCGGTAGACGGACGCGGGGTCGCCCGGTTGTCCTCCTGAGAGGTCCTGCTGCTGATTTCATAGGACAAGATTCAGTTTCTCGCCTGAGCTTCACTGGGCTGCTTAGGTGCTTAGCGAGGCAGCATTTGGTACAGTAGCCTGCCCGAGCCTCCCTGGCTCGCTTAGTGCAGAAAATTTCGGTACGGTTGCCCGCAGGCGCCTCTTTCGGCACAATTGCCTGCCTGCGGTCCTGAATGTTGTACTGCCTGCGAGCTGCCCTACCTGCTGTCCGTCCTGAGCACATCGCATCACGTGATGCGTGCCACTTTGTCCTTAATTAAAATCTAACTTTTTTTGCTCTTTGGGTGGGAAATGACAAAAACACGCCAGAGCATGCACGAAACCATTCTGCTGCTGGGGATTTCACACGGGTTTATTGAATCTCCAAAACCTGATTCTGCGGCTGAACGAACCTACGCATATTCAGCTGAAGAAATGTCAGTGTCTAACCCTTGTGCCAGGCTGCATGTCTTGCTGTGCGAGATGGGTATACAGTACGGCTCCCCCCTGCGAGCCCAGATATCCATATTGCGAAATACGAAGGTCCCTCCCGTCCACAACATTGATATTCGACATGGAACATTGCATCGAGCAAAGTCAGACTTCGATTATCTGGAGTCTGTCGTGTTGCCTGCATCCACGGTCAGGCACAGAGCCGAGGCATTCGTGAACGTGAGTGAGCTTCAGCGTTTTTGGCAGGTTGAGGGTTTAGGGTATCAGGACACTGTGGCAGGTCAGGTCAGAAGCCGGTGTCCTGCGGAAGCGCAGTCATCCAGATCCTAGCAGCTTCAGCGATGGAGCTCAGGCCAAATCATTTCCGATGCATGCTGTATCAAAAAAATCGGATGAAAAGTAAACATCAGTGCTTCAAGCCATTGCAATGTTATTTCTTAGCAACACCTTCTGGAAACACAACAAAATCTGGAGCCTGTGCTTGGGTTCATGCTTGCAGCTATCGGCTTCCAGCTCTGAGGGACAGGCATGTTGAAATGGCGCAAGAGTCGAGGCGTCACCTCCCAGCATTGCTCACAGGGCCCCATTGCGGCTTGGGTCTGGGGTTCAGTCAGCGTAGAAAGCCTTGCTGAGAGCCTGAGTCACTCCCAATACAGAGGGCCAAAAGATGCCAAAAGCCTTCGAGTGCTGCAACTTCGGGCTGCTGCGGAGAATCGTTGTGACATTCGAACATGCACATCAAGCCGCGATCCTGCACACAGCTCATCAACTGCGGGCGTCACAAGTCCACTGTGAGCGAGAACCACTGCATTAAATTCCGCAGGCTGCCTCAATGAAACAAAGCCAAAGATTCGGCAAAGTTTGGACTCATCCTTCCGGTATTGTGAATGCAACCCCCGCACATACCGACAGTTTTGTGTGCGTGTGTGCGCGTGCTGTGCTGGCGGAAAAATGACATCTGGGGCATGCCTGAGCTCAGCAGGTTTCGAGTTGAAGGCCTCTGTACATGCACTTCTGGATCAAGACAGGAACATGTCTTCTAGTCATACGGGCGCATCGGCTTGCAATGGCTTACACGATAGTCTCCATTGCCTCCATCCGGCCGCCCCCTGGAGGACCACAGGCCGCAATGAGCTGGGTTTCCTGGACGCCCTGACAGCCGTAGGTGTCTCGGAAGCCATAAAGCAGGTACTCTCTTTGCCCACAAGAACAAGCAGAAGAACAATTGACAATAACTACAAATGCAACCTGTGCAAGGTAGGTTTGGGTTCTTGGGGTCGAGGATCGGCATTTTTGCTTGCAGGGTCTGGATGAGCCGCGGAAGACATGTGCTATGCCGGCTACGCCTCTGGTAGCCCGGCCAGCGCGGCACTCATGGCCCTTTCGAAGCCCTCCAGATCGAGCTTCATATAGTCCGTGACATTTTCCGAGGCATCTTCGACATAAACGTGGTAGTATCGAAGCCAGGTCGATCCCCCGTCCATGTTCCAGTACGTGGCATACCGGATCAGGTTGGGGTTGCCCTCGTGGGTGCAGCCTCGCACCTTGTAAGCATTTTGAGAACAGATGAACTCAACTGCTGCAGGGCGTCCTGTGCATGGCATCCACAGCACATTAGACATGCCTGTTCCATGAGGGCCAAACGCCACGGCTGCTGAATTGAAGAGACGATGTTGCTGAGCGAAAGTGACCTTCTTGCCTTCCCAGGTGCCGTTGAAGATGACCAGCGACTCGGGACGCTTGTACTGGGTCATGTAATTGCGGGTCATCTCCAAAACTTTGTCCACGTGCTCCGGAACCAACCAACGCCCATGCCCGGAGACTTTGGGCTCTCGAGCAGCATACACGATTGACCTGATGGGCTCCTGCGGATGTATGCTGAACAGGTGCTGCCGCATGTTTCTGAAGAGCTCCCAGCTCCGCAGAAGTTCCGGGTGGCTCATCGCAGCAACAGGCACCAGCACGTAAAGGGTCTGAGCACAGACAGTGCGCCCTCGCGGAATGAACTTGGCTCTGTCAAAAAATGCCGGGTCAAACCACGACAGGAATTCTCGCATTTTGGTGAAAGTTTTCAGGCCATCACCCCACGACGCATCCGGATTGTCCTCCATGATAAGGGTTGCGTTGGGGTATCTGTCTGCCAGCCAGATTAGTGGTGGAAGGACGTCGTGGTTCGCGGCCCCGTAGATAAACCTTCCAAAGGAGAAGCCGCGAAAGAAAACCGCAGATCCGCTCACCTGCTCGTCGCACGTAGCTAGGTCCGCTTTGGCCAAGGTAGTATACCAGTTTTTCCAACCGGCACTGCGGAGAACTGCGTTGTCCTTGCAGCCTACAATGAGCGTCTTCCAATCTTGGGGTGCTTCAGTGAAAGGTGTGTACTGCATCCCTCCCGATGGTATTTCGACAATCTTAAAGCTTCGGCTGGCATCCAGCCCTGTCAGCTTTTCAAATTGGTGCCGAAAGCCCTTGTACGCCGCCTGGTTTCGCCTGTCGTCGAAGCGAGCTGATGCCAGTAGCTTTGCCTCTTTCGGGTGGAAATACTCGGAGGTGCACTGCGCAGTGACCTTCGTGAAAGATGTGGCATTTGTTTTCGCAAGTTTCTGCTCTACAGCTTTCTGCTCGAAAGGCAGTGACGAGTTCTCCTCAGAATGCACAGATGAAAATATACGCGGCAATGATATCAGCATCGTTGTAAATGCCAGGAACATCGCCACCCTGATAACGACTGTCAGCTTTGCCATGGCCATGGCTGCACAGCTGGTGTGTTTCAGAAGGGACTTACTGACTTAGTTGCTTAGTTCAAGTTGTCGAGGGAATGCCGTTGAAGTTCTGGACGCAAGCCGCTACGGTATTTTGGTTCGCTGTAAAACTTGAATGGCAGCTGCTGTTGGGGGCTTTCTTGCAATGGGCAGTACAGCATCTGGAAACAACATCTTGGACCCGGCCGAACTCTGAATGCTGCTGGATCGGATGAGCGCCATGCGGCAAACAACAAAGAGGCTCGCTACAACTTGAAGAGAAAGCGGCTCAGGGTTGCTTGGGGCCGACTCGTCTGCAAAGAGATGACATAGCTGTCTAGGGTCATCAGGGACATCAGAACTATGCTTTCACCCGCTCTGCCTTCCAGAAGAGCTTCTTGCGATCGTAAAAGCCTTTGTAGTCAATCACCTGTCGGCTTTAGTACTCTGAGGAAATAGGATGCTTGAACCTGGGCCCGCAGTGAGGCACGTGACACCGTACCACTGCAGTACGGGCATAGCATCTAGAAGAATCCAGTTTCAGCCCTCAGCTACGCACAGCCCTCAACATGCAGACGGCAAGTGGGCCAATGTTCGATGCTGACCCTGGATACGTACACCCACACCCGGAAAGACCGGAAAAGCACCAACCCACACCCCGTGCCCACAGCCCCACAGACGAACACCAACACAAACGCGAACACAAACACAAACACACATATGCACCCACACACCCACACGCACACACTCACTCACACTCTCGCGCACGCGCACACGCACGGGCACGCGCACGGGCACGCGCACGGGCACGCGCACCCACGCGCACCCACGCGCACCCACCCACACCCACCCACACCCACCCACCCACCCACCCACCCACACACACAAACACACACACACACACACACACACACACCCACACACACACACCCACACCCACACCCACCCCCACCCCACCCACACCCCACCACACCACACCCACACCCACACCCACCCACACCACACCCACACCCACACCCACACCCACACCCCCACCCACACCCACACCCACACCCACCACCCACACCCACACCCCACACCCACACCCACACCCACAACACACACACACCACACACACACACACCCACACCCACACCCACACCCACACACCCACACCCACACCCACACCCACACCCACACCCACACCCACACCCACACACCACACACACACACACACACACACACACACACACACACACACACACCACACACACACACACACACACACACACACACACACACACACACACACACACACACACACACACACACACACACACACACACACACACACACACACACACACACACACACACACACACACACACACACACACACACACACACACACACGCACATGCGTGCACCACACACATCGCACTTGTCTCCAACCCTTTCGCACAGAACTGCTCCCATCCCGTGCTTCACCTATGTGGCTCTGACTCTCATTTTGGTTCTCTTCGCTTCTCTGACTGCCAAAGGATCCACACTCACGATAAGGCTGGCATGAAGTAGCACTACCAGGCAAATACAGCACGGACCTGCCGGAGCAGCTCAATGGGCGGCTGTGCCCCGTACTTTTCCAACCTGGACTGCGGGCCCGCTGTGCATGTCTTGCCCGCTTTGCATGACTACCTCATGGGCAAGACATCCAACCCCAATGTTAGCTTTGCAATGCTATGGTGGCCACTCTTCTTCTTCTGCTGGGCATGAGGAAAAGGGCGTAAATCATGTAACCCCTCTCCTCCTGACCACGGTCCGAGTTGCCCGATTCACCCCCCCGCCCCCCCCCGGCAGATGCGCGCTTGTCCTTGGTGTGAAAGGAAAGCTCCTCGCTTAAGGTCGGCTGTAAGACACTGCAACTATCCTCCTCAAAAAGGTCTCTCGAAAAGGGGAGGTACACCCCGTAAGGGTACCCGGCTACCCGTATCCTGCTTTCCCCCGATTTGGCTTCCACGGCCTATGGCGCATACGACAAGTGGGGGTTGACAGAGTTGCCACTCTGTCTCTCACATATAATCACAATCATGCCCACCAGCATAACAAGCAACAAGAACGAGTTGAATAGCTTGTGGGGGACGGCAGGAACGAAAAGCTAGTGCAGTTGCTCGAGAAGCCACTCAGGAGAACAGCATTGACCGAACAGGCAAGTGCGAGGCCTGCCGTTGACTACCCAGTGCACGGTCACCCGTATCCCACCCCAGAGAATCCCTGGCCAGAGCATCCCCAGAGAACCCTGGAGCAATTCGTCGAGTGCCCCCAAGACCATCCCCAAAGAATGCCTGGAATGCCCAACCCCGGAGAACCCCAGGACCCAGAGTATCCCCCGCAGAATCCTGGAGTGCCCAGCCCCGCCATTAAACCCACCCGTACATAGTTTCGACACTACTGTTGGAAATGCACTTAGCTCACCCGTGCACGGTTTCGACAATATAGTTTCTTGCTGCGCCTCCTTTCCTGCACGATGTTTGTAACATGTCGCACACGTGGCGTCGACGCGGCGCTTCAAGATGTAGCAACATCGTTTCGACGCTGTCTTGAAGAAATATTACACAGCAGATTTTTGGCCCTGAGCCAGAGTGGCGCTTAGCCCAAGCGCCCCTAAGGCTAAGCATCAATTTTCGGGCTGACTACCAGCTTGGCCACCGAATCCCGGTGGGGTTTAGCCCCAATCAATTTGCACGCGCCCCACTTTTTTCTATCCCCAAGCCCCTGTTCTTCAACCTTACGGTTGGTAAGAAAATGGCTAGCTCCCACGGGCTAGCTTTAAAGGTTATTGGGGCAAGCCCTCTCACGAACTGGACGCACTGGCTTGGACATCTGCTCCAGTTGAAGTGCTTCGGCTCCCCCTCAGTCTCCATCTCTGCCCTCCTCTGCTCACACGCTTGCTCGGCCTCCACTTCCCGACAGCAACTCACTTCTGAGCAGGAGGGGCTTCCTGGAATCTGGGCGGGGGGGAGGGGGGCAAGTTCCTACTTGAGCCTCTGGGTCGCTCCGTCGCTTCCTTTTACCTGTGCTCCAGGCCGCTCTGCGCAAGGAAAGCAGGGAGGGCGCGCCTTATCCTTGGAAACCCAAGCCCCCTACAAACAACAAACCAACCCCCCGACACAAAAACAACAGGCACCCACGACAACAACTTGCAAAACCTTAGTTGGGACGGAATTGGTTGGTTCATCGCGCAAACGAGATCGTTTGCTCCCAGTCCAAAGACAAAGCAAACGACCTTGTTTTGGGATGGAATTGGTTGGTTCGTTGCGAAAACGAGGTCGTTTGCTGCAATTCGGGGGTTTTCGCGGGCCAGGTCCAGAGTCAGAGCAATCGACCTTGTTTTGTCCCGAACGCATGGCGGAAGGTTTTTCAGCGGAGGTGGCGGTCGTTAAAGAGAGGTGGTCGTTGGCTATGGTCCCGGGGAGGTGCAGGTCGGAAACCAAAGCAAACGTTTTCGCGATGGAATTGGATGGGTAATGAAAACGAGGTCGTTTGCTCTGTTGTCGGGGGCCTATCTCGTTTTCGGCATGTACTTGAATGGATCGAAAACGAGGTCGTTCGGCAACGATCGTAGCGAAAACGAGGTCGCTCTGTTTCCGGGGAGGTGGTCGTTGGCTCTGGTCCCGGGGCGCAGGTCGCAACCAGAGCAAACGACCTTTCGCATGGAATTGGATGGATCGTAGCGAAAACGAGGTCGTTTGCTTTGTTTCAGGTCGGAAACCAGTGGAAACCAGAGCAAGCGACCAAGAAAGCCTTTCAGGAACCCCCCCCTCCCAGGCTCAATAAGCCCCGCCAAAACCAAACGACGTACGATTTGGGTCTCTTTTTCCACATTCGCAGCCTAGTTGCACGTCATTTGCCCCTCGAAGCCCCAAGAAAGCCACAGGAGTCCCCACCCAGGCTCAAATAAGCCGCCCCAAACCCAAACGACGTACGACCGCCCCCCTTCGCCCTGGACCCCTTCCCCCTCGAAGAGCCCAGAAACCGCATGCACTGGACACCCCTTCCCCCTGGACCCATTCCCCCTAGAAACCGGATGCACTTGACACCCCTTCGCTGGACACCCCCACCCAGACCCGGAAAACGGAAAACTGCAGAACCAAAACGCTGTTATGCGTGACCTTGTTGTTGTTTTGCAGTTTCTGTTGTGGTTTCAACCCCGACACTGGCTTTCACTATGATCCATCCTATTCCATACCGAAATTTCTTGTCGTTTGCTCTGGTTCCCGACCGGAGAGAGAAAGGACACAAAGAAAGAAGAGAAAACAAGGCGACGACCTTCCCTTCCCAAGACTCCAAAAGAAAACTCTAAACCCTTCCCAAGACTCCAAAAGAAACCCTAAACCCTTCCCAAGACTCCAAAACAAAAGGAAAACCAAACCGAAATGTGCCGTGGCTAGTTGGTTTCTTGTCGTGGGTGTGTACAACCTAGTTGTGGATAAGGCCCACTCTCGACACTGACTGCCAAAGAAACGCACTGCGCACTACGCATGCATGTGCTGCCCAGCGCCCAGCGACAACAGATGAAAACAGCCAAGCCACATGGGCATGTTGATGTCGTCAATGAAGAGCAGCATTGTCTGCCAGCGGCAGATACGCGTAGAACCGATTGTCCAAGCACTGAACCAGAACCTACCAGTACCAGAACTTGACTTGGCTCTTTCAGCACAACCGGATGCCGGCTGTCTTTGAGTCGCAGCCTGTGGATAATTCTACACGATCATCTTCATGCTTTTCGTCTCGTCGATTTTGTACCGTTTGCGAGGGGTAGACAGGCCTTGCCCGCAGGAGCGCCCAGCAAAGTCTTTCGCTTTCGCCTTTCTCAGTGGCTGCGTGGCTGAAATTATGCACCGCAATCACACAAGCCACACAACTAACTGCTAGAACGCTTGATGTGCGCTTCAACTCACTCTTCGACGTGTACTGGTTCAGTCTACTTACTTAGCAACGTCTACAAGCAGGTTCAAAGCTACAGCCGAGTAAAACACTCGTCGTTGTCGAGGCCCAGGCTCCAACGTATTCTCCAAGAAGTCCTTAAGTGGGGTCGGGTCGAGAGTACAACCCGAGCATCGTTGACTTGTAGAATCGACTGAAGCGTTTGCTTGAGGCTGCTAGAACCGTAGAAACGATCGAAGCCTGCAGCACGGTACTCCTCGGGTATAGAATATACAATAAAAACTATGTAATATGCAATATGTACTATGTCGAATATTACTTATAATTTACCATATATTACGCCGGCGACGACCCCAAACAGTAAGATTGTAGATCAAGGGAAAGCGGCATGAAACAATAACGCGACGCGTAGAACTCGGCAGGCCGAGTTTACAATCAGAAAAATTGGGCTCAGTATGGAGGCGTGGGTTTCAAGCTTCTTTTTGGAGCTGCCAGGGGTCGGAACAACCCTTTCCCAATCCAAACGAAGGATCGACATGGATGTCCCAGCGCTGCCCACATGCATTTTGCCAGGCCTGACAAATGCTTTTGGTCTTGCTTTCTACATTTGCAACGCCATGCTCTCTCTTTCTGTACTTTTTCAAGGGCGAAAACAGCTGAGTGCATTTAGGCACGCGCGAAAAACGCAGTTGCGCATTCGCCTCTTCTGTACGCAGCTTGTCTTTACGACAAAAGATCAGCTCTTAATTCAATTGTATTGTGGTCGTGGAAGGAGCAAGCTGCGCGAATGCATTTCGCCCACTTTGAAAAATGCACCTGAGCATGTTCTTCCTGATTCTGGGTCTGTTTTGGTACTCCTGCAAAATGTCGAACATTGTTCTAAACAAGTTTTTCAATTACTATAGCTACTTTTATGCACAGAAAACACATCAGAAGAATCGAATACGTCATGAGCCAGCAGAAACCAAAACTAAACATGATAGGAAACCAGTGCCAAATGCATTCTTCGGGCAACGAAAAATGCATTTGGAATGCCCTAGAAATGCATGTCGGGTAGATGTTGGTCGTAAAACACCAATCTGTTCTTGTGTTTTGTTTTCGTTTGTTTTTCATGCTGAAACGGAGCAAGGATAACCGAATAGACATGGATGACCAGACGCTGCCGAATGCATTTTGCCAGGCCTGAAAAACGCATTTGGTCTTGCTTTCCGCATGTGCAACGCCGCGTGCTCTTTCTGCACTTTTTCAAAGCGAACACAGCTGAATGCATTTGGGCACAGGCGAAAAATGCATTCGGACTTTGGTTTCTTCCGTACGGGGCCTCTGTCTTTGACACAAAAGTCAGCTATCAAGTGAGTTTTTTGTTGTGGTTTTGGAAGGAGCAAGCTGCGCGAATGCATTTTGCCTGCTTTGCAAAATACATCTGGGCACGTTGCTTCTAATTTTAGGCCCCTTTTCGGGAATTTTGCGAAACGGTGATTATGGTTCTAAAGGCGTTCAAATCCTATATATAGATTCTAGATGTTCTTACGCGCAGAAAGACATGAAATTTAGAAGTCCTGAGCCGGCAGAACCCAAGATTGCAACATGATAGGAAACCAGTGCCAAATGCGTTTTTCGGGCGACGAAAAATGCATGTGGAATGCCCTCAGATGCATGTCGGGGAAATGTTGGTCGTAAAATACCAATAGACATGGATGTCCAAGCGCTGCCCGAATGCATTTTGCGAGGCCTAAAAAACGCATTTGGTCTTGCTTGCCACATTTGCAACGCTGTGCTCTCTTTGTGCACTTTTTAGAAGGCGAAAACAGCTGAATGCATTAAAGCACGGGCGAGAAATGCATTTGGACAGAGGCTTCTTCTGTACGCAGCCTCTGTCTTTGCGACAAAAGATCAGCTTTTAACTCAATTCGATTGTGGGTTGTGGAAGGAGCAAGCTGCGCGAATGCATTTTGCCCGCTTTGAAAAATGCATCTGAGCATGTTCTTTCTGATTCTGGGTCCACCCTGCCTCCGCCCGGCCCCTCTCAACCGCTGTCGCTCATGATCAGAGACCATCGGAGACCACGGACCCAAGCGCGTGACACCCCCCCAATCCCTGTCGCTCACCACGGACCCGAACCGCGTGACACCCGCCCGGCCCCATTGCGCTCATGATCGGAGATGTTGGGAGACCACGAACCCACGCGCGTGACACCCTCTCAACCCCTGTCGCTCATGATCGGAGATCACGGGAGACCACGGACCCGGACCACGTGACACCCGCCCAGCGTGCTCAGAGACCATCGGAGACCACGGACCCAAGCGCGTGACACCCCCCCAGTCCCTGTCGCCTCACCACGGACCCGAACCGCGTGACACCCGCCCAGCCCATTGCGCTCATGGTCGGATACCACGCAAGACCACGAATCCAAGCGCACGACCGTGAAAGACCGCGGACCCAAACGCGTGAACGCCCTCCCAATGCCTGTAGCTCACCACGGACCCGAATCGCGCGACACCTGCCGGCCCCATTGCGCTCATGATCGGAGATGTTGGGAGACCACGAACCCACGCGCGTGACACCCTCTCAACCCCTGTCGCTCATGATCGGACACCATGACTGACCACGAAACCGGACCGCGTGACACCCGCCCAGCGTGCTCAGAGACCGGACCCAGGCGCGTGACACCCTCCCAGATGATCCATGGGAAACCATCAAGCGCGTGACACCCTCCAACCCCTGCCACTCACCACGGACCCGAACCGCGTGACACTCGCCCCGCCCCATTGTGCTCACCATGCGAGACCACGAATCCAAGCGCGTGACACCTTCTCAACCCCTGTCGCTCTGGTTCCAGATCATGGGACACCACGGAGCCGGATCGCGCGACACCCCATTGCGCCCATGAGGAGACCATAAAAGACCACGAACCCAGCACGCGACACCCTCCAAGCTTGTTGCTCATGATCGGAGTCCATGGGAAATCACGGACCCGAACCGCGCGACACCCGCCCAGCCATTGCGCTCATGATCGGAGACCACGGAAATCCACGGACCAAGCGCACGACACCCTCCCGCTCATGATCGGAGACCACGAAGAGCCAGCCGAACCCGGACCGCGTGACACCCGCCGAGATTGTGCTCGCGCTGGGAGATCATGGGAGTCCATGAACCCAAGCGTGTGACACCCCAGAGACTATGGAGAGCGCGGACCCGCTCATGATCGGGAGGGAGACCAACCCGTGTCGCTTATGATCGGAGACCATGCGAGACCGCGGACCCGAACCGCGTGACACCCACCCAGCCCACTGCACTCATGATCGGAGACCAGCCCCGCGTGACACCCTCCCAACCCTGTCGCTCATGATCCGAGACCGTGGAGATCACGGACCCAAGCGCGTGACACCCTCCCAACCCCTGTCACTTCACAGACCCTGGAAACCATGGACCGTGTGACACCCACCCGGCCCTATTGCGCTCATGAGGAGACCATGAAAGACCACGGACCCCATTCTGAAGTCCAATAACCCCAATTGTGCTCACGATCGGAATTCGTGCTCATGATCGGAGACCATGGGAGACCACAGGCCCGAAGCGCGTGACACTCACCCGGCCCCCAATGGCCCCAATTGTGCTCATGATCGGAGACCGTGCGAAACCGCAGGCCCGAAACGCGTGATACCCGCCAGCGACCACAGGCCCGAGCAGGCCCCAATTGTGTTCACGACCGGAGACCGTGGGAGACCGCAGGTCCCAAACGCGTGACACCCGCCCACGACCACAGGCCCGAGCGCGTGACACCCACCCAGCTCATGATCGGAGACCATGGGAGACCACAGGCCCGAAGCGCGTGGCACCCGCCCGCCAATTGGCCCCTATTGTGGTCATGATCGGAGACCATGGGAGACCACAGGCCCCGAAGCGCGTGACACCCACCCGGCCCCAATGGCCCCAATTGTGCTCATGATCGGAGACCGTGGGAGACCACAGGCCCCGAAGCGCGTGCCCCAATTGGCCCCAATTGCGCTCATGATCGGAGCCCCAATAGCCCCAATTGTGCTCATGATCGGAGACCATGAGAGACCACAGGCCCGAAGCGCGTGACACCCCCGAGCGCGTGACACCCACCTGGCTCATGATCGGAGACCATGGGAGATGCTCATGATCGGAGACCGTGGGAGACCGCAGGTCCCAAACGCGTGACACCCGCCCACGACCACAGGCCCGAGCGCGTGCCACCCACCCAGCTCATGATCGGAGACCGTGGGAGACCACAGGCCCCGAAGCGCGTGACACCAATTGGCCCCAATTGTGCTCATGATCGGAGACCATGGGAGACCGCAGGGGAGACGCTGGGGTTGGGCACTTGAGGAGACTCTTCCTTGGGCACTCCAGGAAACTCTGGGGTTGGGCACGCCAAGTCTCTCTGAGGTTGGGCGCTCCAGGAGTTTCTGGGTTGGGCACTCCAGGCAGACTCGGGGTTGGGCACTCCAGGGAGATGCTGGGGTTGGGCACTCCCAATAGTCTTTGGTTGGGCACTTGAGGGAGTTTCTGGGGCAGGTAGTCTCTGAGGTCGGGCACTCCATGGAGTCTCTAGGAGTAGACCGGGCGAGGAGAAGAGTTGAGTTTAAAATAACAACCCCACACCGAAGGTGGGGAAATACAATACATAATATATACATATATATATATATAGTACATGATATATTATATATAAGAAACAATACCGGGCGGCGTCAGTGAAGACCGATTTTCGGTCATCGCTCTGATTGGTGCGCTTGCCCATGCCCACACCCCCACCGCTCCCACCGCTCTCCGCCCTCCCCGCACCGCCCCCACCAGGTGAAATTTTACAAGGTCAATCTTCATAGACTTGTTTGATCACAACAATCAATACCACAAGATGCACAGCTCAGTCACTTGATGCAATCACTCACTCAGCAATCTTGTTTGTGCCACTCGAGTCTTGAGCCAATGCGTGGAGTCAATGCTCTTGCGAGCATGCCAATTGTGACCATGTATTCTAACACGGTCCCTCAGTAGAGACAATTTTGGCTTCGCTGATCAACTAACGAAAATCGGCTTCACATCGAACAATGCACTCAGGGCTCAGCTCAATCCTTTTGCTTTCAGGACCGACTGCTCCAACGCAGGC